GGCTTGGATGAATGTCGTTGAGGTTAGATTAGAGTTTGAGTTTGAATTGGGGGAGATTGAAGGAGTAGGTTTCATTGATGAGAGAGAAACTGACAGTGAAGGAGGGTCTTATTGAGTAAAGTGATATAAGAAATTCAAATTGGAATGGTTGAACGAGAAGAATGATGTAGATTTAACAATCTTGACATGTTAGGCAACGGAAGAAGAAGAACAACAAGAAAGCCTTTACCCTAAATGTTTGAGATCTGCTACATGAACCCTATTCTTTCATTCCACTCCTCTGTTAAATTAAACATAATCATATTCTTCTTAATTGCTTCCAACCAAGTTTTTTAAGGCCTACCTCTAGATTTCCTAACCCCTTAACTATAATGCTATCATCTTTCTTAACTGATACACTAAGAGGTCTCCGTTATACATGACTATACAATCTTAGTTGATTCTCTCTCATTTTATCCTAAATAAGAGCAACCTCTAATTTACTATAATCTCAAATGTCAGGTGACGGGAGAAACTTCCCCCCAAAAAAATATTACAGTTCACATGAATTCTACATTCATTTATTTGCGAAGCTAATTTCCAATTGAATAGATTTCTTGGCTGATCTCACCTCAGGAGCATCAAATAATCCCAGCCACCATCCAAACATATAACAACTATTAACACCCGTAAAAAATGCTTAGCCTCATCGAGCCCACTTTATGTTTGTCTACACTTTCTTCCAGAAGCACAAATAATGCCTCAGCTCCCATGGAAGAGAAAGAAAGCCATGATTATGAACGTGACTGCCTGAGTGATCTCCCTGAGGATATCCTTGCATCGATCCTCTCTTTGTTACCAACGAAACAAACAGTTGCAACTACAGTTCTGTCCAAGAGGTGGAGGTACCTCTGGCACTCCATCACCACAATCTATTGCCGACCTCTGATGATGATGATCGATCAGCCATAAAAGACCGAGAATCAATGCTTAGCACTGTCAAGCGTTCTGTCTGTGGCCCCGTTCACAGCTGTAGGATATCGGTCAGTCCTTCAGACCAATTCTTTGACAGGTACACAATGTTATACTCTATAACATATTTCCACAGATTGAGCAACTTTTTTAGGGACCGAAGTACAGGCTTTTTTTATGTAGTGATACCTTCTTAATTATCCACTGTAAATACATTCTGGTGGAGTTTAATCATGGTTTGCTTAGATATCATCTTAAATCTCTTTTTACCAAAATTTCAAGGTTTGATGAGCAATGGGAGTTATGGTTTTATACTTGGGTAAATTTCAGAAAATTACCATGACCTTTTAAGGAGTTATTGAAAACAATAACATAAACTTTTTTTTATTACAGGAAACTACTATGACTTTTCAAACTTGCAGTGAAAAATGTCGATAACATAACAATGATGGCGTCTGGAACAGAAGGTCTAAACTACTTTTATTTCCATTTGTCAACCTACTAACTACATGAGGATAATGCAGAATATATATAAATTACATAAGCGTAAAACTGTCAAGAACATGGCGCGTATGAAACATGTAACGAGTTACCTAATTGTTGTCAGACATGATTGTTTAGAGAAAAAAGTCTATAGTTTACTGTAAGAATAAAGGTTCATGGTAGTTTTGCACAAAACATTACTTTTGTCAAATTTACCCTTTATACTCTGACACCTTCAATCTATTCCTTTGACAGATACATTCTTCAACCGAACGCTTTTCTGGTACAACTGATTGATAGAGGCATCCGAGAGTTCTCAATTTTCAACAAAAGCATTGGCTTCTATGAACTCCCATCTCAGGCTTTCTTTTGTCTGACACTGGAGATCCTAGAGCTCAAAAAATGCACCTTATCACTCCACCCACTGCCTTCGACCTTAAATCACTTAACCAACATCAAGAATCTCATCCTCATCAGGGTTTATATCAGCAACTATCAGTTCAAACAGTTAACTTCTAGTTGCAGGCTCCTGGAGAGCTTGAAGGTTGATGGCTGCGTAGGTGTGAGTCATTGTATGATATGTGCACCAACATCACTGACATTGGAGGTAAGAACATTGAACAGAATAAGAATAACATTGGAGGAGTTGCGAAGCTGAGGCGAGCTACCTTTACATACTGACTTGTGTATGATAATATTTTTGTTAGATATTGTGAAGATTTGAATGGAGAGGAGGATGAGGACCAAGCTAATAAACTTGTTCAATTGCTCATGGGCCTGTTACATTGTCATCTCGAGAAGCTTTCTTTGCAGTTCTGCACAGTACTTGCGGCGGTAGAGAATCATTCTTAACATATACTTGCATTTGAATTCCCTACAGAACAACAATATGTAGAATCCAAAATTGAGACAAAACAGGGGAAATTTTTCCTACCTTTTGTAATACATAATTGTTCATCCAAATAGGCTATATACGTAGCTAGGGATGTAAATTGCAAACTATACAGACAGCATATAACTATATGTAAATTTGTCCGATACAACCGACTATCAACCTAATAAAATACAACCCTCACAAAAACTATATGTAAATTGCAAACTATATGTAAATTTGACATTGATGCCAAATTCTATTAGAAATATGAAGGTGCCTTGGGTTTGTTAGAGTATAAAATACAATCCTTACAAAAACTTTTGACTTTTGGTGTTGCGTAAGAGAATTTAAGATAGTTTCAGAACAGTTAGCTTCAAATCCTCCTGGATATGCATTTAAAGAGAATTTTTAAGGGAAAAAAGATATTGCTATATAAAATAACATAAAATTTGATAGATGAAAAGGATGCTCAAACAGTACAATTAATTATAATCCTCCATCCTCATGAGAATTTAAGATAGTATCAGAACAGTTAGCTTTAAATCCTCCTGGATATGCATTTGAAGAGAATTTTTAAGGGGAAAAAGATATTGCTATATAAAATAACATAAAATTTGATAGATGAAGAGGATGCTCAAACTGTATGATTAGTTATAATCCTCCATCCTCATGAAAACTTTGGAGGTTTGGAAAACTTTAAGATAGTTGCAATAATCCTAGAAATAGGAAAGTCTAACTTGCTGATTATGTAATTTGATCATAATTATACAATTCATAACAATAGGATATGATCTCAACCATGGCCATAGCATCATAAGCTTACCGCCTTGTTCTTTTTTTGTTACAATGCGTTCAATTGCAGAGAGCAGATTTTCCTATACGCTTGCCACCATGATACCATTTGAAAGCACTAGAGCATCTAGAGCTGGAAATGTTGGATTTGGGTGTGGATCCAAACCTTTGCAGGCGAGATCGGCGACCGTCAGGCGAGGTCGGCGACCGTCAGGTGAGGTCGGTGAGATCCAAGCGAGCTCGGTGCTGCATACGAGGTCGACGCAGCTGCAGGCGAGCTCACGTGCGCGTGCATGGCTGTCGCCAACCTGTTGCTAGGGGTTTCCTATAAAAGGAAACCTCGAGCACGAGATTGTGTTGTCTCTCTTCTCTTCTTCTCATGATTTCCTGGTGGCGGCTTCTTCTTCTCCTTCTCGTGATTTATTTCTCCAGCTCTCTCTCTCACGTGATTTTGAGGGGAGAATTAGAAGGAGGAATTTATTTAGGGGGCAATTAAAGATGGGAACCAACACTGTAGCTACAGTGTTGGTTTGTATTTATTGAGAAATCATAAGTTTGAGATCTACTCTTGTATTATAATTTCTTGTTGATTAATAACAAATTAATTGTGTGGCTTCCGAGGACGTAGGCAAGTTTGCCAAACCTCGTTAAATCTTGGTGTACTTTTCTCTACTGTGTTTTTTGCTATTTTAGGGGTTTAGCGTAGCCCCGGGTTTTCCCCAATAACCGGTATCAAAGTTTGAAACTATTTAGAGGAAGCCATATTCAAGTGGGAGCGATGGCCGCAGATGAAGAAAATGTGAGATTAGAAAAGTTTAATGAAACAGATTTCAGATTCTGAAAAATACAGATAGAGGATTATCTGTATTAGAAAAATCTGTATCAACCCCTTTCAGGAAAGAAGCTAGAGTCTATGAAGGAAGATAAGTGGAACCTTCTAGACAGGCAAGCCTTTGGAGTTATCAGATTGATGTTAACTTGTAATGTTACATTCAATATTGTAAAGGAGAAGACCACGATGGGTCTTATGACAGTACTCTCAAATATGTATGAGAAGCCATCAATCACAAACAAAGTTCATTTGATGAGGCGGTTATTCAATCTGAGAATGGCGGAAGGCGTGTCAGTAGCGCAACAACTCAATGAACTCAATACGGTCACAATCCAATTGAGTTTAGTTAAAATTGAGTTTGATGAGGAAGTTCGAGAGATGATATTTTTGTCTTCCCTACCAGAAAGCTGGAACGCTACAGTCACAGCTATGAGTAGCTCATCGAAAAGCAACAAGTTGAAGTTTGATGACGTTCGTGATCTGGTTCTCAGTGAGGAGATCTGACGGAGAGAGTCGGGTGAAACTACAACCTCTTCAGTATTACATACAGAGTCAAGAGGTAGAAATTCAACCAGAGGGAACGGACGAGACAAATCAAACTACAGAGGTACATCAAAGGACATGAAGTCCAAGTCAAAGAATCCAAGCAACAACTCGAAGGCTATAGAGTATTGGAATTGTGGGAAAACAGGGCACTACAAGAATCCGTGCAAGAGTACACAGAAGGAGAAGGAGGCGAAGGCAGAGGTGAATGTCACTTTCACCTCAGGAGGAGACAACGCATTGATATACTCTTTAGAGAGCAAGGAATAGTCTTAGGTGTTAGACTCTGGAGCGTCGTTCCATGCTACTTCTCAGAAAGAATTCTTCGAGAAGTATGTCCCCGGAAATCTTGGATATATATACCCTGGTAATGATCAACTATGTGCTATTGTGGGCAAAGGTGTAGTAAAAATTAAGTTGAACGGGTCAGTATGGAAGCTGAAGGATGTCATGCATATTCCCGATGTGAGAAAGAACTTAATATCCGTAGGCCAGCTGGCTAGCGAAGGATACACTATGACCTTCCATGGAGATAATTGGAAGATCTTAAAGGGTGCAATGACGATTGCCCGAGGCAAGAAGACTGGTACCCTATATATGACAGCATGTGCATGTTGTTTAATCTTAGTTGCAGCAGGCAATGAGACCTCAAATTTGTGGTACCAGAGACTCAGTCATATGAGTGAAAAGGGGATGAAGATTATGCACACAAAGGGAAAACTCTCAGGTCTAAAATCAGTGAAGATGGACATGTGTGAAGAATGCATATTTAAAAAGCAGAAGAGAGTTAGCTTTCAGACAAGTGGCAGAACCCCCAGGAAGGAGAAGCTAGAGCTCGTTCACTTAGATGTTTGGGGACCAACAACTACCGCGTCTATTGGTGGGAAACACTACTTCATGACTTTTATTGATGATCACTCTTGGAAAGTTCTGCTATGAGAACGAGATCACAACGGAGAGAACCGTGCTCGACACGTCTCAGCACAATGGTGTAGCTGAGCGGATGAACAAAATATTGACAGAGAGAGCCAGAAGTATTCGTATACAATCAGGTCTACTGAAGCAGTTCTGGGTAGAAACAGTTAACACAATAGCTTACTTGATCAACCGAGGTCTATCGGTTCCATTGGAGCACAGAATACCAGAGGAGGTATGGTGCGGAAAGGATGTAAAACTCTCACATCTCAAAATTTTTGGTTGTGTAGCTTATGTGCATATTAGTGATCAAGGCAGTATGAACTCCCATCTCAGGCTTTCTTTTGTCTGACACTGGAGATCCTAGAGCTCAAAAAATGCACCTTATCACTCCACCCACTGCCTTCGACCTTAAATCACTTAACCAACATCAAGAATCTCATCCTCATCAGGGTTTATATCAGCAACTATCAGTTCAAACAGTTAACTTCTAGTTGCAGGCTCCTGGAGAGCTTGAAGGTTGATGGCTGCGTAGGTGTGAGTCATTGTATGATATGTGCACCAACATCACTGACATTGGAGGTAAGAACATTGAACAGAATAAGAATAACATTGGAGGAGTTGCGAAGCTGAGGCGAGCTACCTTTACATACTGACTTGTGTATGATAATATTTTTGTTAGATATTGTGAAGATTTGAATGGAGAGGAGGATGAGGACCAAGCTAATAAACTTGTTCAATTGCTCATGGGCCTGTTACATTGTCATCTCGAGAAGCTTTCTTTGCAGTTCTGCACAGTACTTGCGGCGGTAGAGAATCATTCTTAACATATACTTGCATTTGAATTCCCTACAGAACAACAATATGTAGAATCCAAAATTGAGACAAAACAGGGGAAATTTTTCCTACCTTTTGTAATACATAATTGTTCATCCAAATAGGCTATATACGTAGCTAGGGATGTAAATTGCAAACTATACAGACAGCATATAACTATATGTAAATTTGTCCGATACAACCGACTATCAACCTAATAAAATACAACCCTCACAAAAACTATATGTAAATTGCAAACTATATGTAAATTTGACATTGATGCCAAATTCTATTAGAAATATGAAGGTGCCTTGGGTTTGTTAGAGTATAAAATACAATCCTTACAAAAACTTTTGACTTTTGGTGTTGCGTAAGAGAATTTAAGATAGTTTCAGAACAGTTAGCTTCAAATCCTCCTGGATATGCATTTAAAGAGAATTTTTAAGGGAAAAAAGATATTGCTATATAAAATAACATAAAATTTGATAGATGAAAAGGATGCTCAAACAGTACAATTAATTATAATCCTCCATCCTCATGAGAATTTAAGATAGTATCAGAACAGTTAGCTTTAAATCCTCCTGGATATGCATTTGAAGAGAATTTTTAAGGGGAAAAAGATATTGCTATATAAAATAACATAAAATTTGATAGATGAAGAGGATGCTCAAACTGTATGATTAGTTATAATCCTCCATCCTCATGAAAACTTTGGAGGTTTGGAAAACTTTAAGATAGTTGCAATAATCCTAGAAATAGGAAAGTCTAACTTGCTGATTATGTAATTTGATCATAATTATACAATTCATAACAATAGGATATGATCTCAACCATGGCCATAGCATCATAAGCTTACCGCCTTGTTCTTTTTTTGTTACAATGCGTTCAATTGCAGAGAGCAGATTTTCCTATACGCTTGCCACCATGATACCATTTGAAAGCACTAGAGCATCTAGAGCTGGAAATGTTGGATTTGGGTGTGGATCCAAACCTTTGCAGGCGAGATCGGCGACCGTCAGGCGAGGTCGGCGACCGTCAGGTGAGGTCGGTGACCGGTCAGGCGAGGAGTCAGAGGCTAGCGCAGGAGCCGAGGCGCTTGCAGCAAGGTTGACGGCGATTGCTCGAGGCGAGCTCACGACCTTCTGGCGAGCTCGGGAGTCGAATGAAGAACATGTGAGCTCGAGCGGGTGCACTTGCAGGTGAGGTCGAAGAACAGGCCGAGCTCGAGCAAGGTTCAGCGGCCAAGGTCAACTTTGAGATCCAAGCGAGCTCGGTGCTGCATACGAGGTCGACGCAGCTGCAGGCGAGCTCACGTGCGCGTGCATGGCTGTCGCCAACCTGTTGCTAGGGGTTTCCTATAAAAGGAAACCTCGAGCACGAGATTGTGTTGTCTCTCTTCTCTTCTTCTCATGATTTCCTGGTGGCGGCTTCTTCTTCTCCTTCTCGTGATTTATTTCTCCAGCTCTCTCTCTCACGTGATTTTGAGGGGAGAATTAGAAGGAGGAATTTATTTAGGGGGCAATTAAAGATGGGAACCAACACTGTAGCTACAGTGTTGGTTTGTATTTATTGAGAAATCATAAGTTTGAGATCTACTCTTGTATTATAATTTCTTGTTGATTAATAACAAATTAATTGTGTGGCTTCCGAGGACGTAGGCAAGTTTGCCAAACCTCGTTAAATCTTGGTGTACTTTTCTCTACTGTGTTTTTTGCTATTTTAGGGGTTTAGCGTAGCCCCGGGTTTTCCCCAATAACCGGTATCAAAGTTTGAAACTATTTAGAGGAAGCCATATTCAAGTGGGAGCGATGGCCGCAGATGAAGAAAATGTGAGATTAGAAAAGTTTAATGAAACAGATTTCAGATTCTGAAAAATACAGATAGAGGATTATCTGTATTAGAAAAATCTGTATCAACCCCTTTCAGGAAAGAAGCTAGAGTCTATGAAGGAAGATAAGTGGAACCTTCTAGACAGGCAAGCCTTTGGAGTTATCAGATTGATGTTAACTTGTAATGTTACATTCAATATTGTAAAGGAGAAGACCACGATGGGTCTTATGACAGTACTCTCAAATATGTATGAGAAGCCATCAATCACAAACAAAGTTCATTTGATGAGGCGGTTATTCAATCTGAGAATGGCGGAAGGCGTGTCAGTAGCGCAACAACTCAATGAACTCAATACGGTCACAATCCAATTGAGTTTAGTTAAAATTGAGTTTGATGAGGAAGTTCGAGAGATGATATTTTTGTCTTCCCTACCAGAAAGCTGGAACGCTACAGTCACAGCTATGAGTAGCTCATCGAAAAGCAACAAGTTGAAGTTTGATGACGTTCGTGATCTGGTTCTCAGTGAGGAGATCTGACGGAGAGAGTCGGGTGAAACTACAACCTCTTCAGTATTACATACAGAGTCAAGAGGTAGAAATTCAACCAGAGGGAACGGACGAGACAAATCAAACTACAGAGGTACATCAAAGGACATGAAGTCCAAGTCAAAGAATCCAAGCAACAACTCGAAGGCTATAGAGTATTGGAATTGTGGGAAAACAGGGCACTACAAGAATCCGTGCAAGAGTACACAGAAGGAGAAGGAGGCGAAGGCAGAGGTGAATGTCACTTTCACCTCAGGAGGAGACAACGCATTGATATACTCTTTAGAGAGCAAGGAATAGTCTTAGGTGTTAGACTCTGGAGCGTCGTTCCATGCTACTTCTCAGAAAGAATTCTTCGAGAAGTATGTCCCCGGAAATCTTGGATATATATACCCTGGTAATGATCAACTATGTGCTATTGTGGGCAAAGGTGTAGTAAAAATTAAGTTGAACGGGTCAGTATGGAAGCTGAAGGATGTCATGCATATTCCCGATGTGAGAAAGAACTTAATATCCGTAGGCCAGCTGGCTAGCGAAGGATACACTATGACCTTCCATGGAGATAATTGGAAGATCTTAAAGGGTGCAATGACGATTGCCCGAGGCAAGAAGACTGGTACCCTATATATGACAGCATGTGCATGTTGTTTAATCTTAGTTGCAGCAGGCAATGAGACCTCAAATTTGTGGTACCAGAGACTCAGTCATATGAGTGAAAAGGGGATGAAGATTATGCACACAAAGGGAAAACTCTCAGGTCTAAAATCAGTGAAGATGGACATGTGTGAAGAATGCATATTTAAAAAGCAGAAGAGAGTTAGCTTTCAGACAAGTGGCAGAACCCCCAGGAAGGAGAAGCTAGAGCTCGTTCACTTAGATGTTTGGGGACCAACAACTACCGCGTCTATTGGTGGGAAACACTACTTCATGACTTTTATTGATGATCACTCTTGGAAAGTTCTGCTATGAGAACGAGATCACAACGGAGAGAACCGTGCTCGACACGTCTCAGCACAATGGTGTAGCTGAGCGGATGAACAAAATATTGACAGAGAGAGCCAGAAGTATTCGTATACAATCAGGTCTACTGAAGCAGTTCTGGGTAGAAACAGTTAACACAATAGCTTACTTGATCAACCGAGGTCTATCGGTTCCATTGGAGCACAGAATACCAGAGGAGGTATGGTGCGGAAAGGATGTAAAACTCTCACATCTCAAAATTTTTGGTTGTGTAGCTTATGTGCATATTAGTGATCAAGGCAGAAATAAGCTTGATCCCAAGTCCAAGAAATGCACATTCATCGAGTATGGTGAAGATGAGTTCGGCTACCGTATTTAGGACAACGAAAACAAGAAGGTGATCAGGAGCAGAGATATGATATTCAACGAGAAGGTGATGTACAAGGACATGCAGAAGATAGATGACTCAGAGAGCGAGTCAACATTTATGGATGCAGATGATGTTCCGAGTAACCTTTCAGAAGAACCCAATGCAGAAGGTCATCGGCTAAAAGAGCCTGCTGGATAGAATGGTGCACAGGAGCCCGAGGCACCAGCTCCGATATTAAGAATATATTTTCATCCTGCTGTACCCAACAGGAGATATATGAACTATCTATTGCTGACAGATGGAGGGGAACCTGAAAGTTATGATGAAGCTTGTCAAAGTGAAGATGCGAGCAAGTGGGAGCTTGCCATGAAAAATGAGATGAAGTCTCTCATCTCAAACCAAACGTGAGAACTAGTTGAGTTGCCGACGGGTAAGAAAGCACTCCATAACAAATGGATGTACTGGGTAAAAGAGTAGTAGGATGGCTCCAGAAGATATAAAGCATGGTTAGTTGTCAAATGATTCTAACAGAAGGAAGGAATTGACTACACTGATATTTTTGCTCCTGTGGTGAAGCTCAATACTATCAGGACAATGATGAGTATTGTAGCTATTGAAGATCTTCATCTCGAGCAGTTGGACGTGAAGACGATATTTCTTTATGGATATCTAGAAGAGGAGATATACATGTACCAACTAGAAGGTTTCTCAGAAGAAAAGATGAAGAACATGGTGTGCAGACTCAAGAAGAGCTTGTATAGCCTGAAACAAGCCCTAAAGCAGTGGTACAGAAAGTTTGTCGGCTTCATGCACAAGGAAGGTTTCTAAAAGTACAACATCGACCATTGTTGCTACTTCAAAAGATATCAGTCCAGTTATTTTCTCTTACTGCTATATGTTGATGATATATTGGTTGTAGGTGCAGATATGGAGGATATCAGGAGTTTGAAGCAGCAGTTATCAAAGAAGTTTGACATGAAAGACTTGGGTCCAGCAAAGAAGATCATTGGAATGCAAATCACGAGAGATAAGAAGAGAGATCTCTTGCAGTTATCTCAGATAGAGTACATCAACCGTGTTTTACAAAGATTCAATATGGGCGACGCCAAGCCAGTCAGCACACCCTTGGCTAGTCATTTTTGCCTATTAAAGGATCAATCTCCTCAGTCAGAAGAAGAAAAAGAGAGTATGGCTATGGTCCCTTAAGCCTCAGCCATCGAAAGTTTGATATACACAATGGTATGTACGAGACTAGACATTGGTCATGCAGTGGGAGTGGTCAGCCGGTTCATATCAAATCCAGGAAAAGCTCATTGGGAAGCGGTCAAGTGGATTCTGAGGTATCTACGAGGCACCACACAGAAGTGTTTGCACTTTGGTAAGGGAGAGGTGGAAGTGCAAGGGTACGTAGATGCAGACTTTAGAGATGAAGTCGATCACCAAAGAAGCATCACCGACTATATATACATTGTTGGAACTATAACTGTTAGTTGGATGTCACAGATACAGAAAATTATTACTCTATCTACTACAAAAGTGAGTATATAGCAGTGACTGAAGCCAGTAAAGAGATGATATGGCTTCAGGGTTTGTTAACAGAGCTGGGATTTAATCAGGAGAAGAATGTTTTTGCATAGTGATAGTCAGCGTGCGATTCACTTGGCTAAGAATTCTGTATTTTATTCTAGAACGAAGCATATTGGGCTTCGATACTACTTCATGAGATCCCTTTTGGAAGATGATGTTAGACTCTAGAGGGGGGTGATTAGGGTCTTGTGCTAATCTAATCCGATTTTATGCCAATTTAAAACTAATTCAAATATTGTTCTTGTAAGATAGATATACAGTATGTTATGAGCAAGAATATGCAATATGAACAAAGAGATATATCCTATATGGTGAAATATATGTAAGAATATATAAACAACATAAGGATAAACAATCTAAACTAAAGATACAATTGTGATAGGGCACTATAAACAATACAAACACACAATATGATCACGGAGTTCGGACCTTCCGTCCTACGTCTCCGCTCCCCACTCCCGGTGAGAAATCCACTATCACAACCGGGTCTTCTACGCTCACCCGAATAACGTTTACACCTCACACTCGGTTTTCTAACTAACCGAAAACTTTACAATCTCACACTCTTGCTATCCCACTTTACACTCTCTTAAGTGTTGGTCTCTAGTCCATGTCTCCCTCAAGTATTAGGAATTATAACCTCTCTCTAGGCATTACCACCTACTGCACTCCTCTTGGGACGACCCCGTCTTTCACCACACACTCTTCTCGGTGTACAAGTGTATTATAAAGTGATCTACATAATTAGGCATGAATACAGCAATGGTTTTTCTCTATAATGGATGAGAACTCAATTAAGCTCACTCTCATTTGTTACAACTCCTCACAACCTAATTATACAATGTATGCAAATACAATAAGCTTAATGGTTGTGTGTGTAAGCAATGAGAAAATTAATCATAAACTCAATGTAACCCTAGCTTGATAAAAATGATAAACAACAAATAATTAATACAAAGCTAGTATTGAGTTTAGAAATTTTTCTCTGAAAAACAAGATGGAGAGATGGATTAAAATGAAGCTTTAAACAATGTAGATGATCTCCTCCACTTGTAAGAAACTTCTTCACAAACAAACTCTTTTAAAACACACTAAACAAACTTTAAAACTCTTGTTAAACTTGTTTAAAATATTTCTTGGATTATTTGGAACTGAGGATATGTGGGGGTATTTATAGGAACCCCAAAGCCAAGAGAAAACAAGGCAAAAAGACCAAAAACCCAAAAACAATACAGACTAGAAATATAGTCGTTTACAGTATTATGAGTCGACTCGGTACTGTTCATGAGTCGACTCATAAGTAACCGTTACAGTCTAAAAACCAACTTATGGGTCGACTCATAAAAATCATGAGTCGACTCATCATGCATGGGTCGACTCATGAAGTCATGGGTCGACTCAGCAGAAACAAAACACACTTTCTAGCACAGTTTGTGAGTCGACTTATAACAGGCATGAGTCGACTCAACCTGATGGGTCGATTCATGATGTTATGAGTCGACTCTTCAGAAACAAAATGTAAACTATACAACAGTTTATGAGTCGACTCAACACTGTTCATGAGTCGACTCAAGACATGTACACTGCCTGTTTTAAACAGAAATCTGATTTTTAAACCTCTTTTAAAAAAACAAATAAAATCAGAAAAATATAAAACTTTGGAAAATGATTGTAAACATGATAATAAATATGTTGCAAAAATTGGTTTTTAAAAAGAACCTCCCAAATGAAAAATATTATCATTTTGTAAAATAGTCCAAAACATGAAAATGTAAACATATGAGTTTTGACATTTTAGCTTAACCATGTTTTGAAATATTACAAAATAATTTTATAAATTTAATAAAAGATGCATATGATTATTGTTAAGTTCAAAAACTAAGAATATAATATTTTCATAAAATACAATAGAATATGAAACATATGAATATGTATATGAATATATATTTGTTTCATATCTATGAAATTAAACCAAACTAACTTATCCACATAAAAACAAACATGTGTGAATATAAATATTTAAAAAACTTTGTTTGTGGATAAACCAAAAGCTAAAATGTGTATATATATATACATAGAAACCAATAAAATGTGTGTGTATATGATATTGAGCTTACAGTACTTAACACATAATATAAACTCCTAAATTAATTATACTCAAGCTTGTGATCTTCAACGAAGCTCTATCTTGGTACACTTGCGGATGAAACTTGAACTTGGATCTTCAACTTGAATTGTAAGACACTATTTTCGCCAACCTCCATTTGATTTGATCGTGAAAGCTTAATTCCATCCAACCTCCAACATGTTGTTTGTCTATAATAAATAGAAAATTACAAACACTAGACAAATAACATTAGTCGTAAATTATTTGTTAAACATTATTAAAACAAGAAGGCTAACAGATGACGTGTTGAAACTGGAGAAGATTCCAGGAAGTAAGAATCCAGCAGATTTGCTAACAAAGGCGATGACCATTTAGAAACTAGAGTTATACGCAACTTCAGTTGGCCTTCATGTATAGGTGACGAGGGCGGAACCACACAGGAGAAGGTGATTGCTGAGATAGCCTGCCGACGACGGTTTGGTCTCTAAGTGGGAGATTGTTGGATTTGGGTGTGGATCCAAACCTCCGCATGCGATGTCGGCGACCGTCAGGAGAGCTTGAGGTTGAATCGAAGAACAGACGAGCTTGAGCGGGTGACTTGCAGGCGAGGTCGAAGAACATGCGAGCTTGAGCAACGGTTCAGCGGGCGAGGTCGACGTAAGACCAGGCGAGCTCGACGAGATCTGCAGGCGAGGTCGACGTAGCTGCAGGCGAGCTCGCCATGGTTGGCGACAGCCTGTCGCCAGCCTGTTGCTAGGGTTTCCCTATAAAAGGGAAACCCCGAGCACGAGATTGTGTTGCCTCTCTTCTCTTCTTCTCGCGATTTCCTAGCGGTGGCGGCTTCTTCTCCTTCTCGTGATTTTTTTTCTCCAGCTCTCTCTCTCTCTCTCACGTGATTTTGAGGGGAGAATTAGAAGGGGGAATTAATTGAGGGGAATTTATTAAGGGGGAAATTAAAGAGGGGGAATCAACACTATAGCTGTAGTGTTGATTTGTATTTATTGAAAGATCATAAGTTTGAGATCTACTCTTGTATTGTAATTTCTTATTGATTAATAAGAAATTAATTGTGTGGCTCCCGAGGACGTAAGCAAGTTTGCTGAACCTCATTAAATCTTGGTGTACTTTTTTCTACTATGTTTTTTGCTGTTTTAGGGGTTTAGCGTAGCCCCGGGTGTTTCCCAATAGTAAATAAGGTTCAACAATCTTCGACAGGCAACTATTTTATCTTGCATGCTCAGTAGTTGCCCAAACTTACATGATCTAAGAAATCAAGTAATCCAAAACCAAATAGATATTCATTTTTCAAGATATTTCTTGTTCTGCTAAACCAATTTTCTCTTTTGGATATAATATCAGGATAAGGAGCATTTTGGATACAACAGGAAGTTACCGGGATAGCCAGAATCCTTAACATTGTATGGATCAGTCACCTCAGAATCTATCGCCAAAATATCCGGAGTTAACATACATCGAAGCTACTGTCAAGATAGGAATATAATAATATAAAACAAATTAAAGAGTTAGAAAATTCAGGCCTGATCGGGAGCAGTCGTGATATCACTGCCCTAGAAGATTAAGGACCCGCTTATCGCCCTGACGCAATTTGTCCCCTCTCCCCTAGCGGTAAAAACCCCCGGAATCGGCCGGCCTCTGCACTCGGGCGTGAGTCACAGAGCTTATGCTCAGACGAAACGGTTGCCCAAAAATAGAAATATAAAATATGTAGAATATGTAGCCGAAATTTCTTGGAGGAATGAGAGTAGAGAAAGAAGAGAGCTTAGAAGTTCTTCTCTTCGTTGGTGTGTTTCTGAATGAGCTCCAAGCCTGCTTATATAGGTGAGGAGAGGTGTAACCCCCGCTGAATCCAATGGACCGTTACGCACGAATCTTGCTTCTGTTACCCGCATGCAGCCATTACAGAACGTGTAAAACGTGCAAAAATAAAAGCTTGAGAAGCAAAAAGGTGTGCGTGTGCGGTGTGGTGCGGCGTGGCGCGCGTGCAGGCGTGGCGTGGCGTGGCGAGGCGAGGCGTGGCGTGCGCGCGCGTGCGCGTGTGTGTGGTAGAAATGCAAAGCCCACAAAACCCAAAACACTATTCAAAGCCCAATAAGGAGAGAACCATTATATACCCTTTACTATTCATCTCATTTTCCAATGTGGGACTATTCACAAAGGCAAAATTGCCTTTTCATGAATAAAGCTTCCAACAGCCCCCCCAAAAAGGCAATATTGACTGAAAATTCAAAATAATAAATCAATAAATAAATCACAAAATAA